AGCGTCTGCCCCCTGGTGGTCAGTGCGCGTCATAGCGACCAGTTGTTCTGCCCTTAGGGTCAATTTGCATATTACCCTTTTATTATATAGGATAATCTTAACATGATGAACTTAGCAACTATCTAAAAATATATGTTGTCAATTTTATCCAAATCTGAACTATTCAATTTATATAAACAACATTTAGGAAAGCTAAATGCAGTGGGGATAAGGAAAATAATCTCCATTTGTAATTTCTTAGATCTCTTTGGTGACCTGTAAAGTATTAAAGAGATTGTGAGCTGACCAACAGCTACATCTGAAACAATTTGCCCTTTGTCTGACAACAATACATACATATATGTTTTAAAGGATGAATGGTTAGATGGATGAATGAACACTATTTTTAATTTTGCATACTCAGGACCCCATATTTCTATTGACATGTATCAATCTAAGAATCATATAAGATTATTACTTTCATTACTGCAATCTTTTGATATGAAACTAGAGGCTCAGAGTGGCTAAGTGACTTGTGCAAAGTCACACACCTAGTATGTGACAGAACCCAGTTTGGAATAATAATTATCTCATTCAGCCCAGTTTCCTTTCATTATGCAGACTGTTTCTTACAAAAGACTACCTATGGCTGTCCAAAACACTGGTGTTAAGAATGTACCTGTTTGGCCCTAGCTGGTTTTGCTCAGTGGATAGAGCATCGGCTTGCAGGCTGAAAGGTCCCGGGTTCAATTCTGGGCAAGGGCACATGCTCAGGTTGTGGGCTTGATCCCCAGTGTGGGGCATGGGAGGCAGCCGATCAATGATTCTCTTTCATCTTTGATGTTTCCATCTCCCTCTCCCTCTCCCTTCCTCTTTAAAATAAATAAAAAATATACTTTAAAAAAAGAATATACCTGTTTGGAAACACAAATGATATTTATTCACAAACTCCAATACATATTTTCAGCTGAACAAAGCTGCCAATGAACCAAGAGAAAAATGTCATCATTTTCTACCTCTGCCAACAGAGAAATGGCTTTTTACCAGTGTTTAGATAGTAATTCTTTATTTTGGCAATCTGTATTGCAATTTAATGTACATTGATTCTTAAATTTCTACTTATATTAAGACAGAAAAAATGCAATACATTCTGTGTTCCAATAACTTAAAAAAATACATTTTTGCCTGTATTCTCTACATAATCCTTTGTTAATACTACATAAGATTTGTTCCCAATCATCTGACTTTTAAAGACTACGCTGCTTCTATTTCACGAACCTGAAACTGCAGCCCTCAATGTTACATAGTCACATGAAAAAATGGGCATAAAATTCTGTTTTAAGGCATGAATTTTAAAGAGCTTACTGTGTTCTATGGCAAGAAAAAAAATAAAATTACAGGGTTTCCATCATTAATGCTATCATAATTATCTCTGACTTCTAATTTGCTAGCTTTCACTTTTGTCTTAGAAAAAAATGGAATATAACAAATTATGATTTCAAGTTTTTAGCTTAGTCATTACTGAATGTTAGTAAAAACACAATTTTCCTTAAAGTTATGAAAGTCTATATGAGCAGTAGTTGAGTTGTACATTGTTAGTAACCATATTGTTATAATGATCATTTTTAAATGTAATAAATTCAATTTATATACATTTAGCAGACTCATATCACTAATTTCTATAGAAAATCTTTCCAAGAAGTTATATAAATTCCTCCACAATTTATCTAACCACATGTATCTTTAGTTCCCTCATTTACAAACATGAATAAACTTTATACCTAACTCCTAGGGACTAGTTATTTTATCTTTATCTCATCAACTGAATTTTACTTTTCCATATGTTTCATTATATATCCAGATTATTAATCAATATATATCTTATGCCTGTGTATATATGTGTATAAAATATGAGAATTAGACAGGATTTTGCAACAGGAGCAATTAACCTAGTGGGGGCAAGTAGTAAATGCTCTAAATAGTGTTATCTATTTTGATTATGCTTCTAGGTGAAAACAAAGTTGTATTAATAACAAGTGTGAGTCCTTATTCACCCATTATTTACACATAAATATTTTTTAGTGAACTCTACTTTGATATTACATAAATCTATATGAAAAATCATCTTACCAAAAGAAGGGGGGGATTTTTTGCAAATGCTGTGTCCTGTAAACAGATTGTGATGAGACATAAAATACTTCTTCAGCATTCATCTCTTACTTTTTAATAAAAAAATAATAATAGACAGGCTAAGAATGGACTTTATTCCCAAGATACCACTTATTGTTTTGACCAAACTCCCATGGATACCAGTTAATATAGACGAAATTATATATTGGCTTTATTACTTTTAGCAATGAAAGGTGAAATTCTTCCCAATGTTCTGCCATAATTATACCTTTGCAATTATGCCATTATTAAGTTTTTCCCCAAGGCATGCCAAGTTTAACTTGAATATTTTGTTATATTCAGTGCATGAAAATAGTTACAGCAGTTTGGAAAACAATGACCAGTTGTCAATATAGAAATTCTATTTAATAAGACAGTATTCCCACCTTCTTTTGGCACTATAATCTCACTAACTACTTAAAGCTTTGAGTTTTAACTTAATGGGACATTTACTCAAACATTGGCTTGATATAGAGGAGCCCTTTTAAGGGTAACTCTCTACTCTGTAGTATTTACATTTTCATTTACAAACATGAGGTAGGGAAAGTAGTGGACAGAGTAACAAAATAATTTTTTAAATAAATTTTTATTGATCTGAGAGAGAGAGAGACATCAATGTTGAGAATCATTGATCAGCTGCCTCCTGAACTGCCCATACTGGGGATCAGCTGCCTCCTGATCAACTCCTACTGGGGATCAGGCATGTGCCCTGACCAGGAATTGAACTGTGAACTCCTGGTTCATAGGTTGACACAAACACTAAGTCACACCAGCTGGGCAATTTCATTTTCTTTTTAAAACAAATTATGGGTATCGAGTTTAAAATGGCACTAGGCTAGAAATTTGCCTGACAATTACTAGAAAAATACTTATGGGGGTATATAAGACGATAAATCAATCCACAATCTGAAAAACTAATCCTTGGAGTTAACCTACTGCCAGAATCTGGGCAAATTTCTATGATAAAACTAATGAGTCTATAGTGAGAAAATGATTTTTGACCATCATATTCTTTCCTTTATGCAGAATAGCTCGCTTATATGAAAAGAAGTAGTGAGATTTAAGATCTCTGGAGAGTTAAGTTTTACACTAAATAGAAGAGAGAACAGCTGTCCCTCTCCTGTAAGGATGCTGCTCTTATAAGTATCAGTGGAATAACCCTGCCACCTGCTCCTATGTTCTCACATATTTAGAGAAAGTCAATCCTAATGGAAAGGAGGATGGTGAAAGAAGATATGGGGAAGGGGCTGGCTGAAGGTTCTTGCTAATGATGGCTCTGTGCATCCTAAGAACTGTCGCTCCCCCCCAATGCTGCCCTTCCTAGAGTCAGAGACAAGAGGCACCCAGTGACAATGTATATTGAGGAAATAGAGCTCTTCATGCGCCACACTACTTCACTCACTGACCTGATGGGAAAGATGTGCAGCATGACACAGTGGAGTATGGAAACTAACAGAAGAACTACTATTAGCACTTATTCTTATGTAATAAGAACAAAAACATTACGCCTTCCTACTATAGTTTACACATTTATACTGTACTCTCCCTGTTGGTCAGGCTTTATCTGTAGTGTTTGTGAGGTCCTCCAGGCAGAGTGGCAGCCCACAACTTGGAGAGGTTGGGTGGTGCCCATTTTCATCCTTTCCCTTTTGTGTGTGTCTTTTTTTAAAATATATTTTTATTGATTTCATAGAGGAAGGGAGGAGATAGAAACATCAATGATGAGAATTATTGATCAGCTGCCTCCTGCACACCCCCTACCCGAGGGCAAGCCCACAACCCGGGCATGTGTCCTTGGACCAGAATGGAACCTGGGACCTTTCAGTCCACAGAGCTCTATCCACTGAGCCAAACCAACTAGGACATCCCTTCCCTTTTGTAGGACCACAAGGTATCATGAGTGCCCTTTAAATGGAGTTATGTATTGGATCTCCTTAACCTACATTCCCCTCACAATATGCACACATACCTTCTAAATCAAATTCAGAGTCAGAAAACAGATGATATGAGAAGACAATGGATTAGAAAAAAACACGAGCAGGAAGTTGACATTAAACGCGGGTAGAGTTTGCCCTGGCCGGTGGTGTGGCTCATGGTTGAGCGGGGACCCACGAACCAGGAGGTCACTGGGGTGATTCGGGGTCAGGGCACATGCTTGGGCTGTGGGCTCCATCCCCAGGAGGAGCCATGCAGGAAGCAACCCACTGATGTTTCTTTCTCTCCAGTGTTTCTATCTATCCCTCTCCCTCCCGCTCTCTCTAAAACACCAATAATCATTAAAAAGTATTTTTAAAAGTCAGCTTTTGGAAGTTCATTCTCTAACAAAGGTGCCAGTAGCGATTAGTAGTGGATCGAGTACTGTACAGTCACGACTTGGAGCAGTTCCAGGAACCGACGAGAAACAACACAACGGCCCACGGGACGTCCCACAGCTTCCGTCTCCGTCCTGGGCACCGAACCCCAGGTCTCGCAGAAAATCCCACGGGCGCTGGTGGGAGACGGACGCTGGAGTCGGCATGCAGGCCTCATTCCCTCTTACACTTCCCCTCCGCCTTCCGTAGCCCAGCTCTGCCCTCTGCCAGACAGACTTATGTTGAAGCGGAAACTGAAAGACGATGGAGACATCAGGGCTTGCAGAGGGTAACTTTCCCCACCTTCACTTCCGGCCCAAACTTTCCTAGGACACACTGCAGTCATTTTACCGCCGGTTTCCTTTCAGAAGAGCTAAGATATTAGCGATGTTACTGATAACATATTTGGACTTCCATATTTTAAAACAATTACAATATTATTTTGCTACGGGGGTAGAAAGCTAACTCCGAAAGCTACGCTAAGAGCATAGTGAGAACTGATCTGGAGAGCTTCTCCTCACCGGACGTCCTGGCGCCCCGGCGCCCTCGCGCAGAGGCACGCTAGCGTCGTGACGTCGTCCGACGTGCGGACGTCGGCGCGCGGCGCTCCGTCTACGGAGTTCCGGCGGATCCATCAGCTGGGCGGTGCTGTCCAGGCACCTGGTCCCCTGGTTTCCGAAAGTCTGGTTGGATCCTGTTCGCCGCCCCTAGCGCGGCGTCTTGGAGGAAACCGAGCGGCTGGCGATGATCCCATCGCGCCTCGGGACCTTCTCCTGACGCCTGCGTCG